CGTAAGACGACACACTTAACTGTGAAAAATCACTTGTGCACCTGTGAGCTCCTAACCAGGACACAACACCCCTGTCTCTTTGGATGGAAGCTGTTGGAAGGCTAAAGAAGCCCTGGCCTGGTACTCTGAGGCACACCGGGACCAGGGTCTGCTTCCTTGTTTGTACTGTTATGGGGAGCCTTCATGTCTGATGGGGCTGTTAGGATGAGGGCCTCAGTTTCTCAGTGTATCTGAACTTGAGGCCACTGTTAGGTCCTTAGCTTATCCTACTGTAACGATATTTGATCTATTTTACCAAATAAAGCTTGCCTGAAGATCAGAGTGCAGAGCTAAGCCACTAGAGGCCGAGGAATGTTGGCACACTCCTCTAATCCCAGGACTCAGGAGACAGAGGCAGACAGATCTATGTTAGTTCAAGGCCACCCTGGGCTACACAAATCTGATCCACTCTAAAAGAGAAACAGAACTCATACAAAGGTGTTCCCAGCAGTTGGGATCACCCACCTTTAATCCCAGCACTAGGGAGGTGGAGACAGGAGTGATATGGTTGGGTGGAGAGAGGAATTTAAGGCAGGAGTAGACAGGAGCTCAGTGCATCTGGGGAGCAGCGCAGACTAAGGCAGTTGGTCTGAGAAGGCAGTCTGGGGACAGCATCTCCCCTTTGGTGTGAGCATTGGTAGAGGGGCACATGAGTTGTGAGTTCTGAAGGGTAAAAAGCATGGGCTCCTCTCAGAGACTGCGCAATATGTTCTCAAGGTCTCGGGGCCTCACGAGAATGTATCTGATTCTTACCGGAAATGCTATTGTTCTGTGATGACTGAAGCAATGCTGACTGCGGAAGTTACTATTCTCTCCTGTGTGCTGTCTTAAACCTCACGGTGTGTTCAGTGGATGCACAGTTCTCTGGTGCCATAAAGGACTTCATTCTTCCGGGATGGCCCTGTGAAGGGATAACAAGGAAATGTGAACCAAGAAAAGCAGTTCCTTCAAAGGCCTCAACGGCGTGAGGCTGACAGATTGTCATGAGGAACAAGCACAAACTCAGTCAGATTAGAAGAAAACATAAGAAGATGAATTTGGTGATGTTCTTGAGCCTCGATGGGATTATAGAATACCATATGTTTAAAGAAAGTAGGTTTATGGAAAAATGGACGATTTATAGAGAGACAATGTGAGGTTATTAGTTAGTTTCTAAATGTAAAATAACAGCAGTCATGAGAAAAATTAAAATCTTTATTTTAATGCATCATAAAATGTGTCTGTGGTTCTGCTTTCAGACCCTGAAGACCCAAAAGAGCTAAAGACATTAGCCTGTTGTTTTAAATCCAGAGGACTGGTGAAATGGGACCCAAATGCTGGCCCACTGGGCAAATATTTTTCCGTAATTAGTAACTATCTATGCAGCCAGAGATAGCAGCATTACTGCTACTTAGACAGCTCTCTAAGGAGTGTGGGTTAGGTAAAGGAGCTCAGGAAGAAAATATTTCTCATCATTGAGAAGGATCTAGCCCGAGGCCCTGAGCAGAGTCCAGACTCCAACCAGCCCCACTCAGTTGGAATTCTGCATACAGGGATAGCCCAGTCGTTTCTGTCCCCCTCTGACCATTCCTGTTACAGGCTATCACCTCCTCAAATCTCCATGTAGCTGGCTTCATTGAGGAACTGGAGAACTGGAGAGAGAGAGAGAGAGAGAGAGAGAGAGAGAGAGATTGTTGGTGGCCTCAAGTCCCAGCCCAAGGGATAGTTGATTAACACTGGTTCAAAGTCCAGTGTTCCATGCACAAGTCTCCTGCAGGAGACTTTTAACTGTAATAACATGCTGAGAATTCTCAAGGTGGCTGCCGCTGCAGGCAAATACAAGGAAGGATTTGTGCAGGCTGATTCATTTGGCTCTGGGGATGTGGTAGCACGACTACTGTGTTCTTCATTAAAAGTCAAGGGTTTTATAGGCATTCTTAGTGGGATTTCCTTTGCCTTCTCTGATGTGTGTGTGTGTGTGTTCAGGCATGTGTGCATGCATGTGTGTGTGTATGTGTGTATGCGCGTGTGAGTGTGTGTGTGTGTACGCACCTGCCATGAGTACCCATATCTGTGTTCGTTGAAACTGCAACTAGGGGAAAGCAGAGTAAAGAACCCATCCGTTTAAAACATCAGCGAGTCAGCTCGTAAGTGGGAGATGTCTTCTTTTCTCTTTTTCTCCCTCTTGTGAGTTATACGTGTAGATTTTGAATTAAATGTGAAATGTTCTGAATTTTCTCATCTTCTCAAAACCTGTTCTCAAAATAAATAGCAGTTCCTTCCCGGAACTCTCCAAGCAACAACATATACATGAATATTTACCTACTGTAACTCCAGACCTCTGGAGAGACTTGCTACTTTTAACTCATTTTTATACTTTCCCTGTCTTTCTCTCTCTCGTGTGTATGTATGTCTGTCTTTATCTCTATCTCTGTGTCTCTCTGTGTGCCTGTCTGTCTCTCTCTGTCTCTGTGTCTCCCTCAGTGTCTCTTTCTCTCTCTCTCTCGTGTCTATGTCTCCCTCTCTCTTTCCCCTGTCTACATGATCCCTCCTTCTGCAGGTGGACACATAAGAGTATTCAGTGGCTTTGACCCAAAGAGCCCAGCTGTACGTGCTGCCATCTTGAGAGCAATACCACATATTTTTCTATGGTAAAATTTGTCTAAAAAGACAAAGAGTGACAAATACACAGGGCCATTGTTGACTGAATATGTCAACGTTTGGAGACACTAACCTGCTTCCATGAGTAGTACTTGAGTATCTTGAGGCTCATTCAGCCATGACATTGCCCACTGGCTCTCCCTGGAGCACTTGCTAGCTCTGGACTCCCTGATTATTCTTCTGTGCATCACACAGTAACTTTATGATGTTTCCACCATGCCCAGTGCCATCCATTCACACACACACACACACACACACACACACACACACACACACACCCGTCTCTCCACCGCCGTCCTATCTTACCTATAGTGTATCTCACTTTCTTGGCTGCATCCAGACTCCAGTGGTTAGTGTTTCTTACTTTGGCTTTTCCTACTTGTGACCTCCCCTAGATTCAGACTCCAGAATGAGCTAAGAATGTTTCTCAAGTCTTAGGGCTTTTGCCAACAGTGGGATGAGGTGCCAGGCATGGGACTTCCATCTCACTCTGATAGTGCTATTTTCCTTGTAGAGTTCTGTGAGACTTTCTTGGGGTTTTACCATTTGGCAAAGGTGGATCATCATTCTAGTTCATGCCGTTCTTTCTGTTCTCCTCTCAACACGGTTACTTTTCTGGCTTGATTCTCCCTTTCTGCCTTTAATTAACATCCAAAACCCCAGCTAGGACTCCTTACACTTCATCCCCCATCATCTTCCAGCTTGGCCTTTGCTCCTCACATGCTGAACTCATTCTCAAAGTCTCCTGTCCTCCATCAGGTTCCCATTTGTTTGATGGGAGACAACTGGACCTTACAAGAGCATCTGCTGAGCGATTGTCCAATTCCCTTTGTGGTTTCTGGTCACCATTTCTCTTCTTTTCTACTCCAGAATGCATTTTAATTGGTGTATCAAGTGCAGTCTCAGTGTGCAGTAAATAATAAAGGTATCACCCTGACTCATTAAGGCTGCCGTGTGCTGTGCACATTTGGAGAGTGTGTCTGATTTCTCTATTCATCTGAGACTTTGAGCAGCTATTCAGCAATCCCTCTGCGACTGCCTGTGCACAGCACTCTCCAGAATCCAGTTGTTAACAAGGGTGACCCCAAGGGCACGGGCTTCGGCCCATAGGACTGAATCTTTGTGGCCTATTTCTTAAGGAAGTTGGCCTTGCAAGTGAGAAAGATGTGGGGGGTGGGGGGGTGAGGAGGGGGAGTCTATTAGTTTGAGACTCCTGAGAGGCTAAGTTCAGAATCAGTAGATGGACTAATGAGTGTAAGTCATTCTGGAAATCACCCAGGTTGTCATTGAATGTTGCTACATTTACAGTTAAATTCTTCTTCTGTATGTGCTAATACTTTAGAACACCAGTCCATTGTCCTCGTGTGCTTGTTTGTCCCTCTCACTTCCCTCCGTTTCATAGATAGCTTTCAAGACTCAGAAAACTTAAATCATCACAGAGCCAGAGACAAGTTGGGGTGCTTAACTTCAAAGTTGGCAGCATGCATGTATGTGTAAAAGTGTGGAAATAGCTACTCTAAAATAGTTCTAACCTTAGCAGAAGTAGAGTCACCAGATATCTCTGTTCTCTTAACGGGAAATCACTTCAAGTTGTTCTGAGAACCTAAAAGAAAAACTTAAAAAATGTAAGCTAAGCAGCAAGTGTCACAGGCCCTCAGGCCAAGCTCATGCTTTAAATCTTTGTCTTCAGAAAACCGTCAACTGTGGTGGCGCACGCCTTTAATCCCAGCACTCGGGAGGCAGAGGCAGGCGGATCTCTGTGAGTTCGAGACCAGCCTGGTCTACAGAGCTAGTTCCAGGGTAGGCTCCAAAGCCACAGAGAAACCCTGTCTCGAAAAAGCAAAAAACAAAAACAAAAAAAAAAACAGAAAACCGTCAACTTACTTGATTGAAAGATAACAAACTCCAAGTAAGGCTGTGCTGCCTTTGAATTCATAACCTACGTTACCTTTTGATGTTTATGCCTAGCAGATAAATGTCCTACCTAGATATTTTCTGTTTGCTCCTGTTTTGGGGTGTCTATTGAAGGGTTTTGTTCTGTCTTGTTTCTCCTTTACTTGGCTGCACAGGAAGTTCCATCCTGCCTTGTGAGTTCAGCATTCTCTTCGCTGTCTGCCATGTATCCCATTGTCTGTGCACACTCAGCATGGCCAGCACCCCTCTGCCTCCCGTATGGTGCAAGCACTGCAGACTCAGAGAAAGCCCCTCACACAGAGCATGCCCATCTGTCCAACATCAGGCACAGGGATGGGAAGCGACATGTCTGGTGGCCTCCAGTGGCACTAAACAGTCTCCCTTTCCTCTGGCTTTCCTTCTCACAGATACTGCAATGAACATCTGCTCTGCCCACCGCACGTCTTCTGGACAGGCTGGGGACCTTGGGAGCGGTGCACGGCCCAGTGCGGGGGTGGCATTCAAGCCCGTCGTAGGACCTGTGAAAATGGGCCCGACTGTGCAGGATGTAATGTGGTAAGTCCCCGCCTCACTCCCAACCCACAGTCCAGAGTTGAGGAGCCAGACTTGAAACCTCCTGGATGTTCTACCTGTGCTGAGATGCTCCACACTCCTGATAGACACTAGCCCCAGGCAGTCTGCACACACTAGGGACTATGCTCACACTTGATCCACTGATAACACTGGATGTTTTTTACACTGGAAAGCCTGCAAACCTATGGTTTGCAGAACCTGCATGTTGTATAGACATGAAATGGGGAAACATTTAATGCTCTATTTTTTGTTTTTGTGGGGTTTGGTTTTTTTGTTTGTTTTGGTGATATCACACACCAATTCCTTTTTAAATATCAACTCTGTTGTAGACACTATATGTTTTATAAACATCAAATGCTCCTTAATTACTAGATCTGTTTTGTTCTGGTCCCCAAGGCTCTGAAACTCTAGAGGGTGTGCGAGTGTTCATGTTAATGAGAATGTGGAGGGCATGGTGGAAATTTAAAGTACTTGAATTAAGTATTCACATCTGGAATAAACTGAAGAATCTTCCAATTCTAAACATAGAGCTATGACAAAATCTTGCCCCTAGCAAACTTTCATCACCCCACTTGTTCTGAGGGAAGGAATGACTTCCCTGTGCTGGGGTCCTAGCCACACATAGTGCAATGTGGATGTGATACTTGTTGGTGACAGAGAAACGGGCACCGTTGTCAAGGGCACTGTTGTCAAGGTGAACTGGTAACAGCAGAAGAAGTAAAAGACCAGCTAATGGTTCTGTTTTCCTTCTGCCTTAGGAGCTCATATTTCTTTTAACACTTCAAAATGTCAAATAAAATTTCCTTGGCACGTACTCTTTTCTAAATGCCCAATGTTGTTTACCCTGATTTTCTGTCGGGGTAGCTGAGCACTAAAGATGGCTGGTAGCTCGCCTTGCCTGCCTTCTCCATGCTGGCCACAGTCTGCATGAGATATGGAGGGAGAACAGGGTAGAGAAGCTCACCGTGGGAAGTGCTGACTTGACATTCTCTTAGTGGCCTTGGCAGTCAGGTTTTTGATACTTCCACCCCTTGTTTCCTGGGGCTAACCAATATCTTTTATGCTCCTGTAAAGCTTGTTTTGTGAAATATATAACCAGAACAACTCCAGAGAGCCAATGGGACTTTGGGAACAGCAAGAAGGTTATGAGGCACTGTATCAGGTCTCATGCCAGACAAGTAGCCTTTCCTTGCTAGGATTTGCAAGTAGTTTTCTTCCCCTTCACAGTTGTTAAGTTATTGTAGTGTTATTAACCAAGTGCATTGGTGATCCTGCGCTCACTTTAGACCATGAAAAACCTTCATATGGAATAAGTAATTTGGATGGATAGATAGATAGATAGATAGATAGATAGATAGATAGATAGATAGATACATAGATACATACATAGATAGATACATAGATAGATAGATACATAGATAGATAGATACATAGATAGATACATAGAATTCATTGCAGGTGCTAAAATTTAAAATTGGTTATACATCAATGCAAATCCCTGAAGACTTAACATATGTAATGTTTCAAAAATCTTCACTCTTTGCTGAACTAACTCAACTTCTCCTGTTGTCTATTGTGCTGTCTGTTTGGACTCTGTCCTTGCATGTAACATTTCCTGTAGAAAACTATGAAAGAAGTGTCCTGAGTTAACCAGATACCTGCATCCTAAACACTTTCAGACCAAAGAACTCAGAAACAGTATAGAGCGCTCTTATTGTAAGTTGATGTCAATAATGAGATTGACAGACAGATTAATCCTCAGAAAGGCCTGCGAAGGGAAGCCAAGCAGGAGCCTTGTGAAGGTTGCAGTACTTGCATGGTGACAAATTTGATTGCAAATGTAGATATTGCTGGTTCACCAAAATGTTGGTGTTTGTATATTTTTATGGTGCAACATGATGAAACTTGGACATATTTGAAGGACAGATTTCTGACACAGAGAGGAGACCTAGACCTCACTGTACGCCTGAGTCACACTCATTGGCCACTGTGTCTCTGTATCCTCAAGCATCAAGTCAGTGTCTGGACTGCTTCGATGACTCCAGCACCCCTACTATGGACTCTAGGACACATGTTTCCAGCAGAATGACTGAGTGTGTCCTGCAGTGTCCCTTCCTGGTGACTAAGGTCTTTGATGAACTCAGAATGTGACGTACCTGGACAGGAGGACACTTACTGTGGAGGGTGCTGTTAGAACCCAACTCCAGGCCAATGAATAACTGGGACTTTGGGGCTCTTCTCTGCCTGCCTGTGCCTCACAAGGCAAGTGAGAGAGCTAGGTGTCTGCCTAGAGCCCACACACCAGGACCCTGCTTCTGAATTTCCTGGAGCCCTGACTGACTGATGCTGCATCCACCCCGGGGCTCTAGCATCTGAGAAACATTGAGGCTTGGTTACATATAATGCACTGTGTTTTCATTTGTTCTGTCTAGTGCCAAACCCAACATGGCCATCAATCAAAGAGAAGGTAATGTCATCACCATATGGGCAGGAACAACTAGTCAAAAAGGAAATAAAATCGTGTCCTTTAATAAAATAACCACAGCAGAGCACATTTTATGACATTGCATTTTAAATTATCTCAATCTAATATGCAAACATACTTTGTTAGCACAGAAATAGTAATAATTTGTGTTGACAATTTTTCCCATATTTATCCTTATGTCCATCTGTTTCCATAGTAACTAGTGGCCCCAATATTGTTAGTACAGATCTTGCAAAGTGCAGCCTACTGTAGACTCCAATTTGCATTCTGAGATAAACACCATGACCAAAAGCACCTTGGGGAGGAAGGACAATGCTTTCTCTCAGCTCCTAGGTCATACTCCGTCACTGAAGGAAGCTGGGGACAAAACAGGAACTGAAGCAGAGACCATGGAAGAGTGTTGCTTACTGACTTGCTTCCTCTGCCTGACTCGGCAACCTTGCTACTACTGAGTCCCACCTGCCCAGTGCCTGCACCACCCACAGTATCTGGGCTCTTCTTTATAAATTATCTGCTAGAAAAATGCCCCATAGACATGCCCATGGGCCAGTCTGATCTGGGCAATTCTACAACTGAGGTTTCCTCCTCCAAGGTGATTCTAGATTTGTGTCAAGTTGACAGTTAAAGGTAACTATGACTCTATATAATATCAAATACGCATTTGAATTAAATGGTCCCTGTGTACATTGATTCACGTTCCACACAGAGATGCTTCCCTCTCAGTAAGCAGCTCCTATGTGCCACACATTGAACTGAGGGAAGATAACGTGCACACTCTACTTTTCCTGTATTAGCAGACGCAGTTCTCACTAAAGACTTTTCGTGAAGATGGGCAAGCTCAACCTGACAAGAATTAATGAGGCTGCTCAATCACAAGATGCCAGCAGATCAGTGGAGAACTAGACAAGATGCCAGTAGATCAGTGGAGAACTAGACTAGATCTAATGCTCTGACATACATGAAATACAAAGATTTCATTTACATACTGTATTTGGGGGGCACCTGGCTTTTCTTTGTTCCTATTTATTATGAACCATATCCTAAAATAAAGAAAAAGGAGATTTTTTCTTCTTTTTTAGTTTGTGTTTATGTTTTGATCTGTCATTCATAAGCACCCTTGATTTTTTAATTTTTTTCTTTATTTTGAGAATTTCATACATGTGTACAATGAAATATATATATATATATATATATATATATATATACCCCTATGTATCCTCTCCAATTCTTCTCATATTCCCCAATATACCTCATTTCTCAAAATTATGTCTTTTAAAAAAAAAGAACCCACTAAATCCAGTCATTGTTGCCCTCATGGGCATGGTGTGGGACCACCCACTGGAGTCAGGGCAAACTCCCACTGACTGCATCCTCAAAAAAGAACGGTTCTCCCTTCCCAGCGCCTATGCACTTCCAATAACTCCATGCCTTAGACGCTCTTGAGTTTTAGCAATAATAGTGGCCTGTCTCTCTCTTCCTATGATGGCAACATTATAAGGAGATTACTGTGAGTATAAAAATGAAAAGGAAAGAAATTCATGTCAAAAATATTAATCTGATGGTCTGGTTAAAGGTTAAAACACAGGAAAGAAAGAATATACCAAGTGTCAAAAGCTGTATTGTGTGAGTATGGTCGCTTCTTAAGCTAATGCAACCCAAATCCCCTCAAAGAGCAGTAGATGCTTTATAGGGAAGAAATAAAGGCAGCCTCACATACAACAAAAATAATTCAAAGAATAAAACAGACTGAGTGCTGCCTGTATTGTATTTCTTACAGAAATACCATACAAAAGATGAAGCCATGGACCAGAAGCTATGATCTAAAATATCAACAAAGAACAAAGGACATATTTGTGTCCTAGATGTAAAAAAGGGTCGCAAAGGACCCTGTAAGGTTGAGAAGAAAGACCTCGAAATCAATACCATCGAAAGTGATTCTGTGACAGTTAATCAGAGATAGGTGAACACACTTGAGTGTGTTTTTATCCAGGGATGGCACTGTGAATAAATTTAGAAGCTAGCGAAATTGGTAAATAGAACTTAGGTGGGTTCTGATGGACAAAATAATGACAGGATTGCATATCCCTTGTTTTTGTGTTAGCACATTTGCAAAATAGCACACTTGCACAATACATTACATATATTCCCTATTTCCCAAATGAGAAAATCAAGAACCATAGAAAACCAGTTAATTCCCTGAAGCCCCGTGGATGGGAGAGAAAGACCCTGTTCAGCCTTTGTTCCCTGTTCCTGAGTAGTCCCTGTATGCCAGTCCTTCCCGGGCAAACAATACTGAGGATTGGGATGGGGGTGCTTGTTCCAAGCTCCCCCCCACACACCCAGTTCAGGAAAAAGGGCCTAAATAGACACGTTCTCTGTTTGCCTTGAACTCTACTTTGTATTTATTTCTAGAGTGTCCATAGACTTTCCCTCGGGCCAGAAATGTACAAATCAGCTCAGTTTTAAAGGGCCTCATGCTCGGAGCAGAAATTATTTT